CATGGACGGAGAAGTCGACATCGATGATATCGTTGACCACAGGGAGATGCCAGTTCAAAAGCCTCCAGGAAGGGGACGTCCTCCAAAACCAAAGCTGCAGTTCCGAGTCCACTTCAGACATCATACAGATCCGAAGGAGGACCGCTGGTTTACTCGGGAGGAACTGATGCAGACCGCTCCTCAAATCGTTGCCCGCTATGAGAGGGATGCACTGAAGGAAAGCGCCAGATGGCTACAGATTGATCTTCGAAGAGGACTAACGAAGATATGGAGGAGGGAATGCGAGGCTACGCCCGCTTAGCGCCTACGGGGCCCTATCTGCAACAAGGTCGGCCGCCCTAAGTGAAGGCAGGCACGACAGGCCCTTCGGGCCTCATTCTTCAGGGTACCCAGCAACTGGGCAATTCAGACAGTTGCATTGCGCCAGTTGGTTGAATGAATCCAGGCCCTGGGCCGCCTGTGTAAATGAATGTGAAGCAGGCCCTGGGCTGGATACTGGTACCAGGCCAAACACAGGCCGAAAGCAGTTGGGCGCATGCAACCACTTCAGGCCCCAGGCCTGCTCCCTTCGTGACTGGGCCTGTGCCTACCGGGGCCTACCGGAAGTTTCCTGGACTGGACGCAGGCAGGCCACTTCGATATAGGGAAGGGCCTGCCTCCTCATTCGGCATTCGGGTGCTGGCGTGAGCGCTGCTGCGCAATCCGCTGGCTGGCTGGCACTCACGCTCTCACGGGCGAGTAGGAGGGAGCACGCAACCATAGCCAAGCTGCGCTGCTGTATGCTAGGTGAAGCGCAGGGTGGTCCTTGGGGTGCTAGTGGCATCTGTGCGGTGTGGATCGGGGTTGTGAGTGTTACGAGAGACATACCTGGTGCTGAAGCGTGCGACATTGGTCGCCATATGCTCGTACTTCAGGAACGCTGTTGATGTCATCATTCTGCTTCGTAGTATAGGCTAGATAGGATCTGCCACCTGTAGTCTGGGCGCCGAGCGCCAATAGGATATTAACTCTGGTTCGTAGTTGATGATGATGGGACTACTTCAGCATTGTCAATTTTGAACTCTTGGTGTGTTCTTATTTGGTGTATCTCGTGATGCCAGTCTGCTGTGGTTTGAGGTCAAGACTATCTGGGCTCATATGTATGATGCTGTTTGATTGCCAAAGTTCGCTAATGCTCGTCTTCCTTGCACCTGGGCCTTGCACGGGCTGGCCACCTGAGACCCAGGCGGCCCGGCTGGTAGCCTAGTTTTTTATACCTTTTTTTTTTTTGGGCTTGTTCCAAATTTCCGTTTTTCCTTAAGCGCACGCACGAGCATCACAGCACAGCATGCAGTTTCAACCCTGGACAGAACACAGTTTGAAATTTGAACCACCCGTCTCGACCTGACGTCTAGAAGCCGTTGCTTGTACGTGCACCGCCCATGAAAACGCTCGGCCTACTGTGAGAGTCTTCTGCAACCACCATCATTCCTCTCTTAGAAGACCGACGAAAACAGAGGGACAACCGGATTCCAACCCTGCACAGAACACAGTTTAAAAATTTTAACCACCCGTCTCGACCTGACGTCTAGAAGCCGCTGCTCGTACGCGCACCGCCCATGAAAATGCTCGGCCTACCAGGACAGTCTTCTGCGACCACCATCATTCCTACGTTAGAAGACCGACGAAAACAGAGGGACAAACAACCCCATTTCATTTCAACCCCAAAACCTGAACATCTTAGCAAGTGGGAGGGGTAGGGAAACATGCTGCGTTGCGTTGTAGTAGACCTCTGTTGTGTGAATGAGAGAGCCTTACCTTCTTCCCCCGAATACAGCGTATGGTCATTAAAGCTCCTGTATTTAGAGAATTGTAGACTGAAAGATAACCTAAATACAGCAAAATAATGACCATACATGTATTCGGGGGAAGAAGTTAGCCTTGCCATCAACCCCACAATTCCATCATTGGCGCTATTAGCTCAAAGAGAAGTTTCCACTGCTGCTGCTCCTTTCTTTGATGACACTACTTTTTTGTTGAAAAGAGGGAGGGAGAGATGTAATGAAATGCCAAACAGATAGAACTATATCAGGTGAACAAAGACTCATCCAGACTGGCACCTAAATGCATCCGCTTCTTTTCTGTTTTCCCAGCGACCAGCCCTGGTCGTGGCTTGCACAATCCGGCTCGATCACTGTGCAGCATGACTCTTTCCGCTTGCTATTGACATCTTCCACCTTTTTCATATAGATCAGTGACCATGACACATGAACCGGCGGACGGCACAGTCACTGAGCAGTAGTAAGCTGAAGGTGAGGGCACGTTCTCCATCCAGATCGACACTATGTGCAAGGCAAGGCAAGTCCCACCTGTACCTGCCTTGTGGCTGTGGCCTGCAACAATCAGACACGATCACCGCGCAATACGACTCTTTGCGCTTGCTACTGACATCTTACACCTTTTCCATCGAGATGAGCGACCGTGACACATGAACCGGCCGGCGGATGGCACAGTCAGGAGACGGCAAGTTCTCGATCCAGATCGACACTATGTGCAAGGCAAGGCAAGGCAATGCAAGGCAAGTCCCGCCTGTACCTGCCTTGTCGCTAAATGGGACACGCATCAACTGTTGATAACCGACCAGATCGCGACTTCAAATCTTGGTCGGTGCGGTAGATAATGTCAGTGGCTAACCCCATTTTGAAAAAAAAAAGATAAGAGAAAAGAGACACGACAAAACCCACCTTCTCTGCTTCTCTCCTGTAGTCGAAGAGCGGTTTCTGCTCACAAGCAGGAATAGGCTCTGCCTTTCTCCAGAGCTGGTGCCAGATATTGTTCTTATCCTGCATTCTCTTAGAAAGTCGTCCCTTCACTCGTCCCGACGAAGGCGCTCTACGCTGCTGCTGCTGAGCATTTCCGCCCACTTTCGACTGCGATTTCCCTGACATCGTGAGTCGGCTTGTTGGATTCGCATCACCCTCAGCAGCAGCTTCCTTTACACGTCCTCTTTCGTGGACCTTGCCGCTCTTCTTTCTCCTGACATCCTCCTTGGCGCTTCGGATGGCTAATGCTTTGCTGTTCGGTTTGGCCGTGGGCTGTCCTCGGCCGCTCGTTCCTGCCACATCGTCAGGCGATCTGCTGCTTTGATCACACTGCCCATCATCTTCCACCCAATCGCGGGGCGAATGCCAACGGATGAAATCTTCCAGTGCCGCTCCAGGATTAGCAGCCTTGAACGCAGACATATCTGAAACGCATCATGGATGAGAGTCGTTAGACGAAGCGACAGGAAAAGCCAAGAGGAGAAGGTTCACCATCTTTAGAAGGCAAAAGGCTATTGTTAGGTACAAGAACAGACTCTCACAAATCAGTTTCACAACCTTGCCGCCAGAATAAGAAAGGCCATCATCTTCCATCGATCGAAACATGGGATCAATGCCAGCGGCGGATGAAATCGTCCAGCACCGCTCCAGGATTAGCAGCCTTGAAAGCAGACATGTCTGAAAGGCATCGATAGAAGGCAAATAGGTCACAACTGACAAGGCAAGCCTGTCACAACAGGGAAGCCAACAAGAAGAGGGAGGGAAAGGTCCGCCAATAGGTCACAAGCGACAATGCAAGCCTGTCACAAATCTGCTTTCCAAGCTTGCCGCCAGGATAAGAAAGGATCACATGCTTCCTGGAAAGGGATGTGAAGAGAGGTGTGTGTGTACCCTAGCCATAGCATGTCATCATGAATTGCCCGCATATATGAGGGTCATGCTCTTTAAACATTGGTCTGATACGCACGGGTGGGAATACCGACAACAATGCATGGCTAATATGGGCAAAATACCAACAATCGTGTGACAGGTCGGGTAAAGAATCCGCTCATAGCCGAGGGGCCAAGTTCTTGCAGATTTCTGATGGAGAGACCATTTGTCAGCGAGCCAGACATAACAAGCAGGATCGAAGGAGAGGACAGCACATCAGTCCCTGTCGAGGTTCTCTACACATATTATGGGAGGAGTCGGGAGGTGCAAGAGAGCAGGCCTAGGATAGGAAAAAGCTACAGGAGAGCAGGCCTAGTAATGGAATATTCGCATGCATGAAGAAAGTGAGTATCAGGAGACCATGAAGGAGAGCTAGGAGAAGTAGGCAGTATGATGGGCATGACGAGAACTTGCTGATCCTGAACAGGGTCACGATGGGCATGAGGAGCAGGAGGAAGTGAAGCAGAATGAGGAGAAGCAGGCGAGACATGGATTTCATGCCGTCAAGGCAGAGAGAGCATTCCCAGGACGGCATCAGGATGCAATAAAGAAGGAGTATCTTGTGGGCGAGGCAAAAGGAGGGAAAGAGGCAGCAACGAGGGGGAGCACCAGCAGAGGATGACACCGAAGATGATAACAATGGAACGACAACAACAACAACAAGGACCATAGCCCTTTTTCTGGCATTCTTAGAGAATAGAAGCTGACCCCATAGGTAACATTGGGGGGTTATAAAATGACCATTGGGGGTTTATAAAATGCCATGAATGGTCATCAATAAGTGCTTTTTTTCATCAAGCGAATACTTTTTTCCTCTCAATAATAGAAGATGGGTATCTTACCAGAGGCCAGAACATCACACTCGAGTCTTGCCCTTGCATCTCGCCCCTGACCACACAGAAATGAGGAGCAAGACACATGCCAGCAGCACAGCGAGAGTTTCAATTCTCGTAACACAGAGACACAGATGCCTGCATTGCAAAATAGTAAAATCCCTTATGTCCAAGTCCAGGAGTGCTTAGACAGTGCTGGCCGAGCCACAAAGACATCCTGCGCCGCTCGAGCGAAAAGCTACTGCTTGTAGATTGAATATCCACAAAGAGACGGCCCGGGCCGAACAGAAAAAAGAATAGAAGGAAGAAACTACAGCCCTGCATTATTGGCGTGAAAAGGGACAGCTTATCGGTCAAACATCAGCAAGAGAGGGTGAGTGGGCTGAACAGAAGAAGAAAGGAAGAAGATAAAACCATGCGCACATACATAAAGTTATAAACCTCAGGTACGGAAACCATGTGTTAAGAGAACTTAAGACTATTAAACAACCAGCACCTCTGAAAGTGGTGGTGGTTAACAAGCCGCGACAATGTTGAACGTACGGGCCACTACAGGCGTGCCCAGATTCATCCGATTAGAAACGCTTCTACTCTATTTTTCCCACGAGGATATAAATAAAATTTTATAAATATACAATACAAGAAGAGAGGAGCAAGGAACAACCATTGACAACAGGAAAGCCGCGTCGCCATAGCCATAACCATTTTGTGCGCATAAGCTACGCAAAACGAGGACGCACTCTCGTAGGGGATTTTCGGGGTATTATTCAGGACAATCTCAAATTTTGACGATTACGCCACCCCCAAAAATCCCCAAAAGAGTTACCCTATTAAGTACGGGTGCCCCCGGGGGAAGGGGGCCCCGAAAAAAAAACCCGTCACACAGAATAGGAGCAAACGCAGGAATCAACAAGGGCATGATTGAAATTATAAGACTTTCCATTAATGAAATTTCAAATTGAAGATTAACAAAAAAAAAAATCCATGGATGATTAGCATTTGGACATTAAAGTTGAAGGCCCAAAAAAAAAGTTCTGATTTTCCAAGAAAGCAGGTCCTTGAGGAATTGGGACTTGGGACTGGACCAACGCAATGAGATTTTAAGGACCGAGGAGTCTGAGGCAAAAAAAGAAAAAAAAAGACCGAGAACAGGAAGAAGAAGGACAACGGAAGCTTTGTGAAACTCCCACATTCACGTTTTCCGGACAAGTTTCATCGAACTTTTGTGTCTGATCCTCTTCAGCCAGCGCTCAAATACGCTTTACTCGTACAGGCAACGTTTGATCTGCAGCTTGCATTGGTCCTGAATCCTGATTCAATTTTTTTGATCGTCCCACCTCCGCACATTGCCACGTGGGACCAGTGATACCGTCTAGGCTTCTGGTTAATTTTCAAGCAGGGGTGGGACTCGGTTCATTTAAGGGTACGATGTACTTTATGGGTAAGTCGGAATTTTTTGCAGGACCACCGACGACCCAACTAGATGGCCTGCCAGCAGTAAATGAGGCTCTTATGAGCAGGGAGGGTATACTATACACCGTATACGACGTATAGTACAAGGTCAGCCATGTTTCAAACTGGGGCGTGCGACCGTTGGTCCCACGGTTAGTTTCTTTCGAGAGATTGTGAACAGAGGATGGTCCGTAGACTCCATACCCGGTACCCTGTAGAGTGACAGGGACCATTACTACATTAGGGCAGGGGGGACGGAAAGTCACCAGCTCAGAGTCGCCTAGAGTAGCCAGACGTTTTTCGAACTGCAGCGTCGGACTGTTGGTCCCATGGTTAGTTTCTCTAGAGAGATTGAACCCAGTATGGTCCACACCCGGTACTTCATAGAGTGACAGGGGCAAATTACTAAATTACTAAATAAATGAGGGTGGGGACTGAAACTCACCATCTCAGAGTCTCTTAGAGCGGCCAGAGCTTGTTCCCTTTCCATCAGCATGTCTTCTGTCATGTGCAGAGGATCCTGGGTGGCGAGATGTTACATACTCCAATGAGTATGGGCAGAACCAAGAATCAACCAATATAGGATGAGTTTTTTATGCAGTGGAAGGCTTATAACGAACTGACTCACATAGACTGACTCACATAGACCTGTCTCTTATACACATCTAGATGTGTATAAGAGACACCTCTCTCTCTCTCTCTCTCTCTCTCTCAAGTAACAGGTGAGTTTGGCAGGATATGCCATGCATAAAGCACACACTCAGCATGATAAAATATTCATTATTATTTGTCATATATTACATGTAAATAAATGCAACATGCTAAATTACCCACCTTCCTGCTTCCAGTTCTTTCCAGAAGGGTCGAGGACTGCGGCCATCATCTCGTCTAACCGAAATCTTCCCTGCATTAGCGACGGCATCTCTGCGCTTTCGGACTGCTGGAGGACATGGGCGGCAGCTGTGAACGATGTGCACACCATCTGTGCAAGGAGTTCGTGAGGGTCGATCGTGTCCAAATAGTGCATGACCTGGCTTGCATAAGCAAAAGGAGAATACGCGCAAACACCAACACATCCCAAGAAAAGAACACCACTCATTTCATTAGCATATAGCAAAAGGAGGAGAAACATGGAAAGAAAAGCCAACACAGGCAATCCGATCATAGCTCTTTCCATTTCATTAACACAAACACAACTCTTCGAGCTGGGCAGGTGTGCACAACATTGTGTGTTCCCCAAATTTACGACTATACAATACGATTTCTCTGCGTCTCCCCAGAGTGGAAAGCAGCCAGAACCTGCAGGTTCTGTGTTTTTTTTTCTTTTTTTTTCACATTTTTATGCATCCAGAAAAAAAAACTACAAGTGCGTGCAAGGCCGCCAACCGAGTGATACGACGATCGCCCTCGCTGTGACCCTGTCTGTAGTAGCCCCACCCTTTCCACCTCGACAACCCACCAAGGACGTGAAAAATCCTGTCCCTGTCCTGATCTGACATTTTTGGTTCTGGGAGATTCGTCGGTTAAGCACTCTAAGACGAGCAGAGAACGGAAAAACAAACAAAGTTAAACAAACAAACAAACAAACAAAAAACACACACAAAAAAAAAGATAAGCAGAGAACGGATTTGGTTGGATCAACATCCCGAAAGTTCGGAAAGGACCGAAGGACCGAAACAGTACTCTTTTTTTCTTCTTCTCCGTACCCTTGCAGGTCACCTACGAAGGAGGGGGGGGGGGGGGCCTGCCACTAGCCGAGCGCCCCCCAAACCATAGCCTTCCTGGCAGACTTCTGCTGGCCGGGAAGCTTACGGGGAGAACCTAGTCAGGCAGCAGAAAGAGTCTAAGGAGAGGCAAGGCGCGGGGGAGGGCCTCCTACAAGACTCTCAGGCCGCAAAACCCAAACTTGCTCGCAGTTACTCGAACAACGCAAAGGCCACAAAAAAAAACAAGCAGCACCAAACAATATCTCGGTACCATCTCCTGAATTTCATATCAGTTCTGCAAATTCACCACCTTTTAAATAAGGTTTTAATACTTTTTATCTAGGCTACCAGAGTGGGCCGGGGTCACTTGCCCGGCCGGGCCAAAAACATTTAGGGGAAAAAAAAAATGAAAAGATTATTTTTTTATTTTGAATTTGGTGAAGGATTTCGATGTGACCCTGAGGCAAAAGTTGTTCAGTTTATTTTTCTGTATAACACTGAGTACGGACGCCGCCCAGCCGGGGGGGCGAGGTGGGTCAATTGGGCAAACCGGGCGGGCAAAAAAAACAGCCCAGAATTTTTTATTTTTTATTTTTTTTTTGAAGGCGGGGTCCTACTGTGCTCGGCGAGAGGACCCCGAATCTGCAATAAAATTCTGGTTTTTTTTTTGGGGGGGGNGATCACACCGATAGGTCACAAGATAGGGTCCGGTAGGTCTCCGAAGTAGTAGTCCAAAATGTCATACAACAAGATCAAAATGTCGAGAACCAAAGGTCACCAATGTCGGAGATAACCGAGTCCAGATGTAACCGGTGTCCAACTGTGATGCAGCCGAGTATCAACCTCAACAATCTCCAAGTCTCCAATCAGGTAAGTACCACAGTCTCATATCACCGAAGTCCAACTCTGATCTCTGTCCAACTAGATAGTCTCCAATCTGAAGAAGAAGCAAAAGAAGAAGAAGAAGAAGAAGAAGAAGGAGGAGAAGAGGAGAGAGAGAGAGAGAGGGGACTGGCGAGGGAGAGGAGGAGAGATCCTCCAAGCTCCCAGTACCTCAGGCGGCAATGGCCGCCGTGCTGGCTCAGTCGCCCTGCCGCTGCTCCGCTCGCTGCTGCGCTAATCTGCGCTATGCTGCGCTCCTGCTTCAGCCCGTGCGCTAGTTTTAGCGCATCAAAACAGCGCTCTGGCGCTGACCATACCGTACCGGTATAGTGCCGGTAGGTCGATGCCTCTACTGAGGCAGGTACCGGTACTTATACCGGTAGGCCATGGTCTGGCCTCAATGCTGCGAGGCCAGGCCAGACCCTGGACCGTCCAGATGGACGGTTCAGCCTCCATCGGCAGGTGGCAGCCTCAAGAGCGCCGCCAGGCCCAAACAAAGTGTCGTTTGGGCCTACCCGCTGGGCTGAGTGCAAAAATCAGGCCTTTAGGGCCTGTGACCCTCAAAGGTCGGGCCTTTAGGCCCTGGTGTGTCCCTCCGGCCCTAAGTCGGGTCTGGTAGGACCCGTGTGACTCGAAGATGTAACACGAGAGCAGCGAAAGAGATAAAAGGAGGGCCAAAAAGACAGTAGCGATGAAGGGAAATTTCAGAAGCTGTTCGCGTCCAGGGTGTCTGTCAAGCTTGTTCAATCACGGACACATGCATTTTCTGTTGTGTTGTCACACTCAAAATGACTAACATATAGTCTGATGTCAAGCTGCGTAGCATTCAGCTAAAACAAATGCACTGCCAGTGCAGCGGATGCAAATAATTCATTAAGACAACAAGATGGTCATAACCACTGATCAATAAAGGCAAACAGAAATACTGGTCACTTTTTCTGCTTCCTAGGGACTCATTAAGTTGGATAGGAACTTAGGAGTGTTTTCCGACCAAGGGGGAAACAGGCTTCCCTGGAATACTATTCTACCAAATCCCTTGACAAGCCACAAGACAAAGGGGACTTCCCTCCCTCCTACCCCCTTCCTCCCTTCCTTCCCTCCTCCTTTCTTCCTTGCTTCATGCCTGCCTTCCTGCTCCTTTCTCTTCTTCTCTCTCCAGCTCCTACCAAAGCCATACAGGCAGAAATGTGTTTCTCTCTCTCTCTCTCTCTCTCTCTCTCTCTCTCTCTCTCTCTCTCTCTCAGCGCATGATGATGACATTTGTAAACACACACTGAGAGAAAGAGAGAGAAAGAGAGAGAGAAAGAGAGAGAGAGAGAGGGAGAGAGAGAGAGAGACAGAGGGACAGAGAGAGAGAGAGAGGGCGAGCGCTCTGCCCCCATTTTTATAAGAACTGGTGACATAGATAAGGCAAGTCCGAGAGCTTCAGCTATTCCACTGCCCCCAGCACTTTGCCCCCTCTGTTGGTCTCCATCGTTGTGCCTGAACAAATCGGCATATACATACCAAAGTCTGACAAGTCTGACCTGTGCAGTTCAGCGTGCAACATTGGTGTTTGCTCTGCGAGGCTCAACTAACATGAGCACACTAAAATGAGCTGAAACAGCTTTACCTGTATTGCAAACATCATGAAGCAGAATGGAACCATTATATTGCCTTTTCGTTCTGGAGTCCTTTCTTCGCTATCTTTACTTTGGCTTTCTTTGGGGCACCCCTTCTATTTCTTCTTGCAGCTTCCCTTTTAATGTGCCTCTCACATACAAGGCTTGCCACGTTGATCGTGGTTGAGCCCAATCTGCCCACTACCGGCCCACTTGCACGCTATGAAAGGAGGCAGAGTCAAGGGGGAGGTATACTCCTGTTCATTCTCGGCAGATCGTCGGCTTATATTTCGTCTGTTCTCTTAATGATGCTCATTCGTATGCATTTAGTAGTCCTGCACAAAGGGAGGGAGGAAGGGGGAGGGGTGTGTGTCTGTCTGTGTGTTTTGAATTTTCACCACAACAACGAGCATGGGCTGAGCCAAACCCACGACAGCCGTACACATTCCATCGTGCCGCAAGCGAATTACCTGTGGGCATTCGCTTGTTCAGACAAATGAGTTTGTTCATCAGAAATCCAATGAAAAGCACGTGCAATGTCGTGCATTCTATTCAAATACAACCATATGCGTTCTATTCGAACTGCCCTTTTATTTGAAAAAATGGACCAACAGGCAGCTTTTCGACAAATCTTCCCCCCCCCCCCAAAAAAACCCAAAAAGGATGCTAGTGTTATGTTCGGATGAAGAGAGTAAGGAATGACACCCTAGTCAATTATGACAGGGAGCCTGTCTCTCTCTCTTCTCGTTCCAAGCTATCATATGCATCTGTATGCCCTCATGTTCTTCTATCTGTTCACCAATAACCCCCCCCCCCCCCCCCCCCCCCCCCCCCCCCCCCCCCCCCCCCCCCTCTCACATTCCCTCAGCTCATTCCCTGTAGGTCTTTTAGTCCGCCTATCGGTCTGATAGTCTAATCTGCCAGCACTACAGGATCAGAAAGACGCAAAGATAACCCCTTTCTATACATGCTGCTTCACGAGAAAGTCCCAAAGTGGTACCGGGAAGTCGAATTTTAAAAACGGAGATGGGAGTCCAACATGGAAATCAGGGCCTGCCAATACTCGTATCAGATCCTGCGAAATTTGACACAACTGCAAATCGAGAACTGAATTAAGGCCCATGTGAATCTTAATATTTTCATTACTCCCGTCTCCAGCCCATCTGCCGGCGATATCCATGTATACAACGTTATCATATCCAAGATTAGAAGATTACCTGATTCCACGATCAATTGCAATTTCACATTACAACAAGGGTACCTGTTGCGGCTTCGCTCGCAAGGGATTGAGGGGGAAATGGGAGAAATGAGTCGGGTGGAGGGTTCGGTGGGTTTTGGGGTGGTGGGTTCGGTGGGCTTTGGGGTGGTGGGTTCGGTGGGTTTTGGGGTGGTGGGTTCGGTGGGTTTTGGGGTGGTGGGTTCGGTGGGTTTTGGGGTGGTGGTCGGGGGTGTTTTTAGACTCATGGTCCAGTGGGGGGTTGTGCCCTAACAGCTATGACAATGTGTGTGCAGCACCTCCTGCTAGTTGGGGAGGTTCTGCAACAGCCGGCTTTGGAAATCGGCATGCTACTGTCTTCCCCCGACTCTAGACTGAAATCCTGCGGCGTACCTTGGTTGGTATGGCACGCAAGTGGCATTCATGAGGTCTTGGGTTCAATCCCCGTTGGCCTCATGTACCTTCCTGGGCAAGCTTGGCGCCAGGCGCATAGGGAAAGACCGGAGGTGAGGCACGTCCTTTTTTCCCCGAGCTGTGGAGGTGTGGCGGAGGAGCGGGGAGAGTGAAGAAGCGGGGGAAGAGGGCGGAGGAGGGCGGCAGGAGCAGAGAAGTCGTGGGGGATGAGCCTGTAGTTAGTTTGGGGTCTCTCTCTCTCTCTCTCTCTCTCTCTCTCTCTCTCTCTCTCAAGCGCGTGCGCACGCGCTCCCTCCGCTGCGCGCTGTTTTTCCGTGTTTTTTTTATATAATAAAGATCTCCCAATGGTCCACGGGTCAGATATCAAACTGATCGGAACAGATAGTACACTTGATCGTCATCATCGTCGTCGTTTTTGGGGGCGGGATAGTTAGCTAGTTTGGGGTGTCTCTCTCTCTCTCTCTGGTGCACTCGCACGTGCGTGCGCCGTTTTTCAAACTGATCGGAACAGATACTACACTTGATCGTCATCGTCGCCGTCGTGCAGCAGAGGAGCGGAGAGTGGCACACACTTGATCGTCATCATCGTGGTCGTTTTGGGGGACGGGGTAGTTAGTTTAGGGGGTCTCTCTCTCTCTCTCTCTCTCTCTCTCTCTCTCTCTCTCTCTCTCTCTCTCTCTGTGTTGCTCTGCTGCGCGCGCACGCGTGCTGTTTTTTCGTGTTTTTTTTTTTTTTTTAAGATCTCCCAATGGTTTACAGCTCAGATGTCAAACTGATCGGAACAGATACTACACTTGATCGTCATTGTCGTCGTCGTTTTGGGGGCCGGGTAGTTAGTGAGTTTGGGGTCTCTCTCTCTCTCTCTCTCTCTCTCTCTCTCTCTTTTGAGCGGAGAGTGGCAGACACTTGATCGTCATCGTCGTCGTTGTTTGGGGGACGGGGTAGTTAGTTCGGGCTCTCTCTCTCTCTCTCTCTCTGTGTGTGTGTGTGTGCGCGTGCGTTGCTTTGCTGCGCTCGCACGCGCGCTGTTTTCTCGTGTTTTTTTTTTTTTTTTTTTAAAGATCTCCCAATGGTTTACAGGTCGAATGTCAAACTGATCGGAACAGATACTACACTTGATCGTCATCACCATAGTCGTTTTGGGGGCCGGGGTAGTTAGTGAGTTTGGGATGTCTCTCTCTCTCTCTCTCTCTCTCTCTCTCTCTTGGAGCGGAGAGTGGCAGACACTTGATCGTCATCGTCGTCGTTGTTTGGGGGACGGGGTAGTTAGTTTGGGG